GTAAAAAATCAATACAAAGTCTTCGTTTTTTCTCTCAGCATGGCCTGCCTTGTCGCCGACGGTGCGAAATATGTGGCAGCGATGGGACGCGGCGCACATATGGGACGCGGCGCACATCGCGGGCGGCCGTCAATCCGGGCCTGCCCATCCTGCCTGTAAAAAATCAATACAAAGTCTCCGTTTTTTCCTCTCAGCATGGCTTACCTTGTCGCCGACGGTGCGAAATATGTTGCAGGAATGGGACGCGGCGCACATCGCGCGCGGACGTCCATGCGGGCTGCGGGCCCTCCCATCCTGATTGTAAAACAACAATACAGAGTTGCCGTTTTTCCTTTCATCATGGCCTGTCTTGTCGTCGACGATGCGAAATGCGTGGCAGGAATGGGGCGCGGCGCACATCGCGCGCGGATCTCTGGGGCAACCCCAAGGCGGGAGGGGCCACCTTACTTGTCAGAAGCAATGCCATGCTGATTTTCCCTGCCCACATAGCTGTTCTTGTCGTCCACCCCGCAAAAGTACATGGCAAGAATTGGGCGCGGCACACCCCCTTCGCCCCCCGCTCGAAGTGAATGAAATGACCTTCCCGCTTGGGCGCGGAGCGAAATTTTCTCAAAGTTGCGCTCCCGCTTTGGCTCGGCGCACGTTTTTCGCTCGCCAATTCATTGGGCGCCTGGACGTTCCAGGAGGCCCTGGGGTGACAAATGCCTGGGAGGTTTCTGCTTGTTCAGCCTCTTGGAGGGCCTCCTGAGGCTCCCCGCGGTTTTTTGGCGGCGTCTTCGGCCGTCTGGAGGCAATCTTGGGCGTCTTGGAACGATCTTTCGGCGACTCAGGGCCCCTCGGATCGTCTCGGGGGCGTCTCGGCTCTCTTGGGGCGTTCCTGGGGCGCTCTGGGACCTGGAAGTCAGCGCCGAAGAAGAAAACCATCGCTGGGACCGACGTGCCCAGGACCTGCTCGGGGTTCGTCCGGGGGCCCCCAGGGGCCGCCCCGCGCGCGCAAACTAAAAGATTGTTAACTAGTTACCGGAGATCTTAGCACGCCTCTGGCCCGTTTGGCTGGGCCGGGACCTGCTCGGGGTACTTTTCGTCCGGGGACCCCCAGGGCCCGCCCCGCGCGCGCAAACTAGAAGATTGTTAACTAGTTGCCGGAGATCTTTGCACGCCTCTGGCCCGTTGGGCCGGCGAATTTGTCCCAAGCCTTTCTGAGATCTCGACCCCTTTCTCGGGAGCAGTTTTGCATCCTGGATATTTTCTCATTGGTCCGGGGGGCCAGAAATTGTTCCCTGGAGGGCGAAGTCGAAGGAAAAACATGCGAAATCGACGGAAGAACGCCAGAGCCACGAGAGCTTCCGAGGAGCCTCGAAGCCCGAACCGGGAGGGCCTGTCGCGGCGGCACGGCGCCGGCGCCGCCCACAGTGGGGCCCACAGGTCATGGTCGGCGGCGCGCCGAGGGGGAGTGTTTCACTGAGGTGCTCGAACTTTGCGCCTCGAGCTTCGGTGTTCGAGTCTTTCTGGCCCTCGGGGTCTTCTTCTAAGTCACGGCTGGACGCGACTCGAAAAAATGGTGCGTTTGGACCCGGGAGGGGTCCGAAGGCTTCCTTCGGACCGGATCTGGGTTTGGGGGTACGGCGAGGGGGAAGACAGCAGCCTGTCCGTTGCCTCGAGAATCGGTGTTCGAAGCTTTCTGGCCCTCGGGGTCCTCCTCTAAGTCACGGCTGGACGCGACTCGAAAAAGTTGTGCGTTTGGACCCGGGATGAGTCCGAAGGCTTCCTTCGGAACGGATTTGGGGGTTTAGGGGTGCGGCGAGGGGGAAGACAGCAGCCTGTCCGTTGTGCCATCACTGTTTCTTATGTTATGGGAGGGCGGGTGGGAATGGGCATGCCATGCTTGACTCGCTCGAGCTGGCTAGCTTGATGCGAACCGTACCCCTACCCCCCACGATTTCTGAGGGGAGGTAGGGGTAGGGTTCGCATGTGGCCCCCTAGAAACGGTCCAGGACGAGGACCCGCTTCCCCACTGGGGCATGGTGGGAGCGTGGTGGAGGGGTCCCGGAGCAGTTTTTGCAGGGTGCATGGCTTCGAAGAACTCATGCCCAGAGGTTCCAGGTGGCACGCGGTGTCAATCGTGGTCGGGGCATGGTGGGGGCATGGTGGGAACGCGGTGGAGGGGTCCCGGAGCAGTTTTTGCAGGGTGCATGGCTTCTAAGAACTCATGCCCAGAGGTTCCAGGTGGCACGCAGTGTCAGGCGTGGTCGGGGCATGGTTGGAGCGTGGTGGAGGGGTCCCGGAGCAGCTTTTGCAGGGTGGATCGCTTCGAAAACTCATGGCCAAATGTTCCAGGAGGCACGCGGTGTCGGACGTGGTCAGGGCATGGTGGGGTCCCGGAGCAGCTTTTGCAGGGTGCGTGGCTTCTAAGAACTCATGCCCAGAGGTTCCAGGTGGCACGCGGTGTCAGGCGTGGTCAGGGCATGGTGGGGGCATGGTGGGAGCATGGTGGAGGGGTCCCAGAGCAGTTTTTGCAGGGTGCATGGCTTCTCAGAACTCATGCCCAGAGGTTCCAGGTGGCACGCGGTGTCAGGCGTGGTCGGAGCATGGTGGGAGCGTGGTGGAGGGTCCCGGAGAAGTTTTTGCAGGGTGCATGGCTTCGAAGAACTCATGCCCAGAGGTTCCAGGTGGCACGCGGTGTCAGGCGTGGTCAGGGCATGGTGGGGGCATGGTGGGAGCGTGGTGGAGGGGTCCCAGAACAGTTTTTGCAGGGTGCACGGCTTCCAAGAATTCATGCCGAGAGGTTCCAGGTGGCACGCGGTGTCAGGCGTGGTCGGGGCATGGTGGGAGCGTGGTGGAGGGGTCCCGGAGCAGTTTTTGCAGGGTGGATGGCTTCTACGAACTCATGCCCAAATATTCCTGCAGGCTCGCGGTGTCGGACGTGGTCAGGGCATGGTGGGAGCATGGTGGGAGCGTGGTGGAGGGGTCCCGAAGCAGTTTTTGCAGGGTGCTGGCTTCGAAGAACTCATGCCCAGAGGCTCCAGGTGGCACGC